ATATATATATATATATACACACACACACACACACACATATATATATATAAAGAAACAAGAAATGGAAAATTATTTGTTGATGATAACATATATGATTAAACCACTATATAGTGTATTCTGGATGGGAAATCACATTTTGTATGCTGTGATGATGTTCAGTGCTTGAATGTAAAATAAATTAAAAAAACCAGGCACTTGAAAAACAAAGTTGAAACAAAATAAAATCCTGAAATCTCTCTTTTTTTGTAATCTAGATGTAATGCAGAGCTTTCCTTATACTTTAACATATTTCTTATATTAATCCACTTAATTTACCTTATAGAATGCTCACCATTTCTGTTGCCTGTTTAAATAAATCACTATATAGGAAAAAGAAATATGTTAAAAGGTACATAATTAAAATTATAAACTATACTCATAAATTTATTTCTAACTAATAAGTACTAAAACAGTTTTCATTATTCGCTTACTGAAAAATTAATAAGTACTCACTAAATGTGGTTCTGTTGGCACCAAGGATGTAGCAATAAAAATGACTAGACTTCTGCCTCCTTGGAACTTATAGTAGGAGAGGCAGGGAAGACATCATAAGGAAATGTATAATAAAATTTCAGTAGCAATCAAAGATTGGAAAGACAGAGCACAGTATAAAGATGGAGTCTGACCTTTCAAGGAAGATCCCCTATATGAATAAGTCTTAGGGGAAGACTTCTCAAAATCTATTAAGTTTTTGACAAGTTACTATCTTAGTTGGACTTTTTGTTATTTTTGTTAAAGTAGTATAAACACATCTCATATTCAGAGAAAAATTTACTATTTATCTCTTAGCCTCCCAAAGATTGCTTACCGCAAAAATTCCATCCATATTTCAGTATTTTACTTCTGAAGTGAATTTTATAATGGGGTAGGCATGCTCACATTTATTCATTTTACAAAGACTGAACAGGGACAATAATAGTAGTAACAGCTACTACCATTTATTTAATACTTACTGTGTGTCAGGTACTTTTAATATGTGCTGGCCATGTGTCATCTCATTTAGTTCTTTTCTATTTCTATTTGATGGAACACTTACTAGTATTCCCTTTTTGTTTATGAGTAAATGAAAGCCCTTTAGCAGGGAAGTGGAAGAGTTGGATTCATATATAGGCAAGCTCATTGTTAGAGCCTGTATTCTTGACCCCTACACGAATCATCACGGAGGTGTTACGTGGCTATCTATTCTCTTATTTTGTTAAAAAAATAATTATTCTAAGTATGCATACAGTGCTTTCTTTATTACTTTCATGTGCAGTGTAGCCAAGGTGAAGAAGACAGCATGAGTGACCTTACGACTTTGGACAGGAAAGCCCTCTTACAGCATGGTTATACAGGCAGCCCTTACGGTGTACAGCAGAGTGCAAGGAAATTGAATGCAGTAAGTTATCAGCACGTTTACTTATTTAATAAGCCACTAAAACAATTTACTCTCCAAGATACTGCATATCTATAATTGGATAAATAATTGGCAACAATTGAATTTGGACTGAGGTAAATATTTACTAATGTGCAAATTGAATCCTCATTTTTATAAATAATTGAGATATGTTTGGTGTTTTATATGGTGAGAAAATTGTCTTGAGTCTTTGAGAGTTTGTAAAAATTTAGTTTATACTGTTTAAAATATTAATTAGCTGCTATATATGTTAGTGGGCTTATTTGGCATCTCCTCCTTCCCTCAAAAAGTAGCCTTGTTGTTTCTTTTGAAAGTCATAAGCTGGTAAAATTAGTGAATTTCACAGTAGTTAATGAAAAGTTCAGAACGAAGTAATTTTATCTTTAGAAAAATTGAAGCAAAACCTCAGATGCTCAATATTGACTTTAAATTTTGTCTTTTACAAAAACAATTAGGTAGATACTTAGACCAGTTCTGGTACAAATAGTTAATTATAACATTTCTGTAGTATCTTAGGGTACTGGACCAGCTGCTTGAAGTAGGAGTCCCCTGGCCACCCTTGATACCACCAGATGCTAAATATCTTAGGCATACCTTTAATGGATTTATGGAGTGTAATGTGCTGGCTCTCAAGTTGAGAAAACTCTGGTGTAGATAGCCTAGTTATGAATTTAGCTGGTTACGTTATTATTGTTGAGAGGAAGTTCAATATGTATTTTCTTAGGATCACAATCATCCAGAATCAATATGTCTGGGATTAACAGCAGCATGTAATCAATCTTTGGAACAGATGGGCTATTTTTCTGTTGATATCCAAATTTGCAATCTTGTTACAGTTCGTTTACTAAAGCCACTAATGCATGATTTGCTATACCTATTATTATTTAGATATTTATGCTTAATAAAAAGTGATATTATTATTATAATTATTCTAAAAATAAGAAAGCTAATTTATGAGGCTTATTTTGATATATTTCTGAAGGTATGCTTGAAATGGATGTTACCAGTACTACAGTCCATTGAGTGCGAAGCCATCTGGATGGCTTTCTTATTCTTACAATTATATTATTAGTGGTTATTTATCTAAATTCTTCATTAATGTTACTGTATTACAGTATCACTAATTGACCTCCCCCCTCTCCCCAGAAAATGTCTATATGTGTGAATTCTCAAGACATCTACAATTATTATCAATTTGTTTTTAAAATATCAGTGGAAACTCCTTTATTTAACTTTTAACTACTTAAATAAAAACAGAAGCAATGAGACTATGGTTTTTATGTCCATTTCTTCTAGGTTTTTTTTTTTTTGTCATTTTTGAGTGTTGTCAGATATTTTGGATCAGTATGACTTCTGCTTGTAATCTGCTTTATCTTTATACAGACCTTTAAGTCAGTGTGTCTGGAGGGTGATTGTAATCTTTCCTAGAAAGTATCAGCCACTCTAAACTTCAGCAGTCAAGGTGGATTTATGAATGGGCTCTAGGATGTTCATTAATCTTCCCTCTTTTGTTTGCTTCTGGACTTTACATCTATGTTCTAGCCGATATGGAGTTTCCTTTTACATAATTTCAACATGTTGTCCTCTTTCCAAGCCACCCTCAGGTATGATAAATATACCTTGATTAACCTGTAGGTTCCATGCTTTTTCTAAATTTAAATTGCTGTTTTAAATCTGTTACTAAATAAAATCATTATGAAGAGTCATGAACTTAGAGAACATTAAGATGCAGTTGTATGTTATATAAACTTTATATAAGATATGTTTAGATAGGTAAGCTATATATCTTGAATTCTACTAAACAAAACTATTATATTCATTTATAAGCTAATAATTATGCTCAACTTTTTCAGGTTTCTTAGGAATTTTTATTTTTTGATTTTCTGATATACTGTTAGACATTCTTATTTAATATTTTGTGTAAGTTATTTATTTATTTTCCATGCTTATTTTTTTCTATGACCATAATCTACCCCCTACCTCAAATGGATCTGGATCATGGGCAAAGGTGTGTCCTACGTACTCATAGAGTCTCTAGACTTAAACAGAGAACCTTCCCATATGGGCATCACAGAGCATCTCATTTTACTGCTGAGTCACCATCCCGTGTCAGTTTTAAGTAAAGCACTCTACCTTAAATTACATTATCTTACTTAATTTTGTTTATTAGAGTGTCAATAAGATGATAATAATTTACTTTCTGAAAGTAGGACAAGCATTACTTTGATTCTTAATTTTTTTCACCTCTTTTACTTGTTCACTAAATGAAACATTTAGTGATTATAGTTGTAGCTAACTGAAATGAAATGTTTACATATCTTTCAAGTTGTCATGATTTAAAAAAATACTAAAAATATTTTTAGATGAGATGACTTAAAAAAATACTAAAAATATTTTTAGATGAGTAGAAAACATGAAAAATAGCATGAAGACAGTTTAATCAAACCAGTAATTGAGAAAAGTTGATCAGGTATTATTAATTTATTATACACATCATGGGCTACAAGCCCCAGACCATGGACCAGTGCCATCTGTGGCCTGTTAGGGCCCAGGTCCCAGAACAGTACTGTCTACAGGGCTGTGTAGCATGGGGTGGGCAGCAGCAAGTGAGGCTTTGTCGGTGTTTGCAGACACTCCCTATCTCGCATTGCTGCCTAGGCTCCACCTTCTGTCACATCAACAACGGAATAGGAATTTCATGGGAGTGCAAATTTGATTTGGGTCTTCCTATAAACAACCCCTCTTCCATGTTCTGTGGAAGGATTGTCTTCAATGAGTTCACTGCGCAGTGCCAGGAATAATGGAGACTGTTGATATGCATAGGAAAGATTATCATCTTTTTAATGATGGCAGAGTTTCGTTATTTTGTTTTGTTTTGTTTTCTTTAAAATTTTTAATAGAGGGTTAAGTGATTCAAATTCATTTGCAGTTTCTTTTGACCAAACCCTTTTTTGTATCAGAGTAGGTATTTTTCTTGAAGCAGGTTAAAATACCTTTTGCAGGGTAACTCTTGAGGAGAAACCTAGACAGGAAAGATGTCATAGTCTCTTCTTTGATTTAGATTCCATGAAACTTGAAAACATCTCATGGAAATCTCAAATGATCTCTCCCAAAATTTAAGTGCTTTACTTTATAGAAGATACACTACATTTTTATTTTTTTATTTTATTATTTTTTTTGGAGAGGTTTTTGCTATAGGACACGTGTGCTTGCCAGACAGACAGAGAGACAGAAAGCGAGAAATTACCCTCCAGGGGGGTTGGCCACGCCGCAATCCCTTCTCTTCCATTCTCCGCTCGGGATCTTGGGCACGCATGCACACGCGCCCGGCGTGAGTTTAAGCCACCGGGTCCGGGATGCGAACCGCGGTCGACTACGTGGGAGTCCAGCGACATAGCCATTACGCTAACTGCTGGTCCCATAGGCTACATTTTTAGATTAAATAATTGAAATTTAGATTTATTAATGATGGGTAATAATCTATATTTATGAAAGGAATTACAATTACTTAATTTATAGTTTAGGACTCTTTTTATAACTATTGTATTGTTCTGCTTTATGGACAATTAAATTGTCTTTATTTTATCTTCTCAGGAAATTGTGGCTGCAGAGAAGAAGAAACAGACTGTCTCAGAGCAGATGATGATAGACCACTTATCTAGGTGAGAGTAACTGGCAGTAGACATTCATTCAAAAAGTTTTCTTTTTCATGCCAGGCACTCATATTCTTGGTCAGTCAATGAGTGGATAAGTCAATGGTTCCCACACTTTTTCTATTTGTTGCACTTTTAGTGTTTTAGTAATTTTTTTTTCATAGCATTTGTAGGCAAAGAGAAACATCTACTAGTTCTATTTATTATTTTTTGACTAAACTACTTAATAAGTATTTGGTTTTTTAACAACATAATGGCCATTTGGAAAAAAAAATACATATAAATTGAAAGATAATCCTTTTGTTTCATTGTTGAATTGCCAGTTACTTACTAATGGGATGGACACATCTTTTGAGCACTGCACAGTCTCTCCAATCTCAGAATCATTTAGGATGCTGCCATATCACTTTCTATTCAATATTGACTTTCACAGTTTTCTTTTTTTTTTTTTTTTGAGAGATTTTCACTGTAGGGCCCGTGCGCTCACCAGACAGACAGAGAGAGACATAGAGACAGAAAGCGAGAAATCACCCCCCAGGGGGGATGGTCACACCGCAATCCCTTCTCCTCCATTCTCCTCTCGGGATCTTGGGCACGCGCGCACACGTGCCCGGCGTGAGTTTTAAGCCACCGGGTCCGGGACACGAACCGCGGTCGACTACGTGGGAGTCCAGCGACATAGCCATTACGCTAACTGCTGGTTCCCACAGTTTTTTTTTTTAAACCAGCTTTGCAAAGATGTGACATTATTGGAGGAATATGTTGTGATATCTTGTTGACTTGTGAATTTACAGTTGTTTACATGGTGTCCAAGAGATGTTGAGTATTCCTGTGTTTCCCTCAGAAATTAAATATACCCCATAATGCCCCTGTGAATTCACTGTGGTTCCTCAGGGTGACTTGATGCATTTGAGAACCATTGGGACTGTCAGGAATTTTTCGGTGTAACAGAGACTTACATGTAGCCCTTAGGATTTTAGCTTTGTCCGTATCTTTAGCTTAAGGTATTTTGTGAATCAATAAAATATGGGAAAAATGATATAAACTTTCTCCTTTATCTCTCCAGTCTTTAAATGTAGGAGTGCTCCAGGGCTCACTTGGTGGTTGTCTCCTATGCTTACTTCCAATGTAGTCTCATCCAATAGCATGCCTTTAAAATCCATCTACATTGTGATGCTTCCCTAACCTAAGATTCCAATTTAACATATTCCAATCTGAGTTCCTGAAAATTCTACTTTTTCTCCCTCAATGACCAAATCCTCTCTAATTTTCCTCCATGGCCATTCTATTTTTCAGATTATGAGGCCTATAATCTCAGTGATAACTTAGATTCTTTTCTCTCCCCTCTTTTTTCCCCCTTTCTTTCCTTTCTTACTTACTTACTTTCTTTTTTCCTTCCTTCCTCCTTCCTTCCTCCTTCCTTCCTTCCTTCCTTTTTTCTTTCTTTTCTTCCTTCCTTCTTTCTTTCCTCTTTTCCTCCCTCCTTCCTTTTTTCTCTTTCCTTCCTTCCTTCTTTCCTTCCTTCCTTCCTTCCTTCCTTCCTTCCTTCCTTCCTTCCTTCCTTCTTTCTTTCTTTCTTTCTTTCTTTCTTTCTTTCTTTCTTTCTTTCTTTCTTTCTTTCTTTCTTTCTTTCTTTCTTTCTTTCTTTCTTTTTCTTTTCCTCTCTTTCCATGCTATCACTATATATCCTTATAGCATACCAAATGAATTTTCCCATCCCAAATACACTGTATATTAATTCAATTAAAGATATTACCATGCACCTTCTCTTTCTCTGCAATTCTATACTCAGTTTGTCAGCGGACACTCAGTTCTACTATCAGAATGAATTTATTCCTTCTGCTGCAACTATTCCTGCTCAAACTAAAACTTTCTGCCTTTTGAATTATTTCAGTCAGTTTCTGAGTGAACTCATCCTGTCTGTGTTTGCCTCTTATTGGTTTGTTCTCAAGTCAGCAGCCAGAGTGAATCTACTAAATGGCAAGCCAGATAAAACCTTCCTGTAATTTCTCATCTCAGTCATGGTAATGGTAAAATCTAAAAGACTTAGTATTTCCACAACTGTAGCTTAAAAACACAATCGTTAGTTTTTGCTCATGTACCTTTAGGTTAGCTGTCTAGACTAGGCTTGGCTGAGGAGCTCTTGCATGTAACTCTCTTTGGCCAGTTATATATAAGCTAAAGTAATCATTTTAGTTCTGTGCTTAGGCCTTAATAAACATCCTATATTTCCATTGGTTCTTTTGTGCTTCTGTCATCTCCAAGAGAACACCTCTTGGCTATTTTCTTAGTCTCGAAGACAAGATCCTCTACAAGTGAAGCTAGATTATGTGGCAGAGACCATACTAAATGAGCAGATCCCCAGCCAGTCTGTACTTACACGAGTTAGTTCAATTTAGATGAGTAAAGCAGATTAGCTGTATATAATTAATTGAAGCACATCAAATAGCAAAGCTCAAAGTCAAGGGGTGAGAAAATACACTCTACTTATAATGTGGCCACGACAAGGATGTAGATCACAAGGGCTAAAAAACTGGGGCCAATAACACAGTCTATATAAGCCTGCCATTGAGCTGCCAACCATTAGACCTTAAACCCTCTCTCCTACTTCTCTCCTTCCCTGCTCCTGTCATTTGGATTGTTCTGGAACATATAGGTTCTACTATTATCTGTACTTTGCATTTATTTTCCCCGGAAATCCATCTGGTTGCTTATTCATTTTACCTGATGTCTTTATTCAGAAGTCATCTTGGTGATGTCTTCATTGGCCATCAAATCAAAAATTTATAACTCCTTATTCAAAATTTTATATCTCCTTTATTTTTCTCCTTAGAAATGATAAATTTGTAATTTACCTTGTATTTTCCCAATTTTTTCATGTTAGTTATCTTCCTGCCTTTTCACAATGTCAACTCCTGGAGGGTAGTGCTCTTTGGAAGTTTCATGCATTGTTGCATTCCATTCTTTAGTATAGTAACTGGATAGTATATACTTGTAGGATGGGTAAATTATTGAATGGATGAATTGAAAAGGAGAACTTAATTAGAGTCAGTGGAACCGGATTTTAAATTTAGCTATGTGATTAACTTGCCATTTAAGCTTTACAATTTTTCTTCTTTATATCTTGATTTCTGTCTCTGCCAAATGAACATTAAGGTGTCATAACTCAAACATTCTGTGTGTGAATATTTAACATAAAACTGATAGATAAAGTGTGAGAATAGAATAGGTGCCATATTTTGGTAAATGTCAGCCTTTTCATTTCATAAACTTTAAAATATATTTTAATGCTCAATTTAAAAAGAAGCCTTGGTGTGCAGAAACTCCTTAATCTGATGTAATCCCATCTGTCTATCTGGGGGATTTATGCCTGTGATTTGGAAGTCTTGCTTAAGAAGTCTTTGCCTACCCCAATGTCTCCCAGAATTTCCCCAGTGTTTTCCACCAGTAAAGAGTTTCTGTACAGCAAATGACACTGTAATTAGTGTGAATCAACAACCCTCGGAATAGGAGAGAATTTTTGTTAACTGTGCCTCAGATAAGGGACTGATAACCAGAATACATAGGGAACTCAAGCAGCTTACCCAGAAGAAAATGATTAACTCAATTAAAAGATGGGAAAGTGAGCTGAATAAACAACTCTCTAAGGAAGACATAGGAACAGTCAAAAGCGTATGAAAAAAATGCTCAACATCCCTCTTTGTAAGGGAGATGCAGATCAAAACCACAATGAGAGGGATCAGCAGTTAGCGTAAAGGCTATGTCGCTGGACTCCCACGTAGTCGACTGTGGTTCGAGTCCCGGACCCTGTGGCTTAAACTCAGGCTGGGCACCTGTGCTTGCATGCCCAAGATCCCGAGAGGAGAATGGAGGAGAAGGGATTGCAGCAGTGGCCATCCCCCCTGGGGGCGGTGATTTCTCCCTTTCTGTCTCTCTCTGTCTGGCGAGTGCACGTGCCATATAGCAAAAACCTCTCCAAAAAAACCAAAAAAACCGGGCCGACAGGGTGGGCGGTGGCGACCTCACGAAGGTTCCAGAGGCGCCAAATGCCGGAGGCGGGCCTAGCGCAGGGGCGGTGTGGACCAGGGCTGCAGTGCTGCGCTGAGTGAGCGCACTCTGTGCAGGGTCCCCTTCCCTGCGCGACTGCAGCTCGGGTGGTCGGTGCCCAGTGAGACCATGGCTTCGACCGTGGAAGAGCTACAGAAAGATCTAGAAGAAATAAAGGTGTTATTGGAAAAGGCCACTAGGAAAAGAGTATGTGATGCTCTTACAGCTGAAAAATCCAAAATTGAGACAGAAATTAAGAACAAGATGCAACAGAAATCACAGAAAAAAACAGAACTTGACAATGAAAAGCCAGCTGCTGTGGTTGCTCCCATTACAACAGGATATACAGTGAAAATCAGTAATTATGGATGGGATCAGTCAGATAAGTTTGTGAAAATCTACATTACCTTAACTAGAGTTCATCAAGTTCCTACTGAGAATGTGCAGGTGCATTTCACGGAGAGGTCATTTGATCTTTTGGTAAAGAACCTAAATGGCAAGAGTTACTCCATGATTGTGAACAATCTTTTGAAACCCATCTCTGTTGAAGGCAGTTCAAAAAAAGTTAAGACCGATACAGTTCTCATATTATGTAGAAATAAAACAGAAAACACACAATGGGACTACCTGACCCAGGTTGAAAAAGAGTGCAAAGAGAAAGAAAAGCCTTCATACGACACTGAAACAGATCCTAGTGAGGGACTGATGAATGTTCTAAAGAAAATTTATGAAGATGGAGATGATGATATGAAGCGAACCATTAATAAAGCCTGGGTGGAATCAAGAGAGAAGCAAGCCAAAGGAGAACCAGAATTTTAAGACTTAAAGTCCTTTCAAGAACTGTGATGTGGAAATTCTGATGTTTTCAATAAGGGAATGTTGGTGAGCAGCACGTATAAATCAACAGATAACTATTTACACAGCCTCCTAAGTAAAGACAGTGAATTCTCCATGTCCTCCTGGAGAATTGATTTGAATAAAGTATGCTTATTGAACACTTCCTCCAAAGATGATTTTGTTAGCACCCTGACCATTTTGTTCAAAAAAAGGATTATATTGCATTATTTGAAATAATGAAAATGCTATGTATTTTTGTTCAGCTAAGAGATAGAAAACAAAAGTATTTGTCTGCCTTTAAGTTAGTGACATCAATTCTAGTGTAAGAAAAAGAAAATGTAAAACTTGAATTTTTATATAAAATACAAGTTTGTACTTGTACTTGGAAGTTGATTTCTTACTACCAGCTGCAATGCATTAC